ACTGAGTCCAGATATATGGGTCTTTCCATCCGCATAACCCGATTCTAACCAGTTCATTAAAACTATGTTTTCAATAAAAAAGGTATATTTTGCGTAAGAATGAAATTCAGAAATCTTTGGTTCGCGTTAGCCGGTGTAGGACATACCCAGAGGAGAAAATCTCAAGCCCCGGCCGAAGGCCGGCTACTTACAAAAGGTATCCAATTTAGAAAACTTTGGTTCGCGTTAGCCGGTGTGGGACATACCCAGAGAAGAAAATCTCAAGCCCCGGTCGAAGGCCGGCTATTTACAAAAAGTGTCAAATTTAGAAAACTTTGGTTCGCGTTAGCCGGTGTGGGACATACCCAGAGGAGAAAATCTCAAGCTCCGGCCGAAGGCCGGCTATATACAAAAAGTGTCAAATTTAGAAAACTTTGGTTCGCGTTAGCCGGTTTAGGACATACCCAGAGGAGAAAATCTCAAGCCCCGGCCGAAGGCCGGCTATTTACAAAGAGTGCCGAAATTATGAACCTTTTGTTCGCGTTAGCCGGGGTCGGACATACCCATATGTGAAAATCTCAAGCCCCGGCCGAAGGCCGGCTATTTACAAAAAGTGCCAAATTTAGAAAACTTTTGTTATTCCGACGACTGCTACGCGAAATAAACACTTTTTTTATTAAAAACATAATTTTAATGAACTGGTTAGAATCGGGTTATGCGGATGAAAAGACCCATATCTCTGGAACCGAAAAAGGTATTAGCACAAATTGTAGCATTTTGGAAAGGTAAGAGTGTCAGCTATAATTTGGAAACAATTTTGTTGACCCCCATAATGGGCCCTTTTTTGACTTTTTGGGGGTTTCATAAAAAATCCGGGTCCAAAAAATCGATAATTTGACTATAACTTCCGAACCATGAAAACTTACCCCTTCATGTGACCACTTGTTGGATAGGTATTTCCATAAGCTTTCAATCGATACCCATATTGTCTATATCGGGTAAGTGGATCCGGGTCCAGGCGGGGTCTTGATACCGGACTTTTGGGTCAAAAATCTGGGGTCCCGGGTCCGTCCCCCAAGAAAAAAATAGTTTCCCGGGATCAGGGTAAAAATACCTACCTCTGGAAAAAATTTCGAAAAAATCTAAGAGTTTTTACTAAACTAGAGTTGTTCCTCATCCAGTATTAATATCCAACTATTGTTACACATTTTAAGGTAACATTTCTATCTAAAATAAATGTTTTCTAATTACTTCCACCAACACAAATCACCGGGTTATCAATTGATTGATTATCGCAGAAAGAAGAAGTGTTGCAAGTGATTATAAGAAGTTTGGCCGTCAAAAATTCTCTTTCAAATCGCTCTATTTGTAAGAACTTTTGTATAAATCCACGTCCTCCAGTAATAATGTGAAACAATTGTTTAAAGTAATATATCTTTTCAAAATAAAAAAGGTTTTCCAATAGCGCCGAAAAATAAATCAGTTGGTTATCACTTGACTGATTGTCACAGGAAGAAGAAGAGTTGCAAGAAATTAGTTTGGCAAAAATTTGCAAACTCCCCGCAAAAGAACTCTCAAAAATGCTCTCTCACATCGCTATAGTTTAAAGAACTTTTGTGTTAACCGACTTCATTCAGCTATAAAAAGCAACAATTGTTAAAAAATTTATGTTTTATAATTGCTGGCACCAACACAAATCACCGTGTTATCAATTGATTGATTGTTGCAGGAAGAAGAAGAGTTGAAAGTGATTGCAAGAAGTTTGTCCGTCAAAAATTCTCTCAAATCGTTCTATTTAGAAGAACTTTTGTGTTAACTGACATCATGCATTTATAAAATGCAACAATTGTTACAAATTTTAAGGTAACATTTGTTTACAAAATAAAAATGTTTTCTAATTGCTTTCACCAACACAAATCACCGCGCTATCAATTGATTGATTGTCGCAGGAAGAAGAAGAGTAGCAAATTATTGCAAGATGAAGTTTTTTCGGCAAAAATTTGCAAACTCCCAGCATATGAACTATCAAAAACTCTCCCTCAAATTGTTCTATTTGTTAACCGACGTCATCAAGTGATAATCTGCAACAATTGTTAAACATTTCAGAGTAACCAGATTAATCTACTTCTTTTATGACATTTTTTTGTGCCGGACTCCCACCAGCGCATGTTACTGCAAAACTGTTTACGTAATTTACGTTTTATTGCTCATAGTTGCACAATTTTTCCACTGACCACAATGGCGATAATGTTGGCTTTAAATAAAGGGAAAAAAACAAGAAACTATAAAAAGAATTTCTTTAAGCTATACATTAACTATGCATGCTGTAGATTAAAAATAAATGATTGCATCGTTATACAGGCAAACCTCTATAAAGAGTTTATGAAAAAAAGAGAAATTTACTTTTAACGGTTTCAGAATGTTCGAATACCAAAAACCCTAGATAAATAACATTTGTCTTGTCCAGATTTTCCGGAAAAAAGTGTTTAGTGGTGACAACTTATCACTGTATCCTACTTGGATGTCAGGAAGTCCTTGAAAAATATTTTTAAAAAATTTACAATTCATGGAAATTCTAAAAAAAATTGAAATTTCTAAAAAATTTCTTAAAAAATTGTTGAATCGGAAGGTTATTGACATTTTTGTTCTTAAAAATCAAGTTTTTGTATCGAAAAGCCCAATAACATTAAAAAAACCCTTACAAATGCAAAAAAAAAAAAAAAAAAAACATGTTGTTAGGTCGGGCGGTTCTGGAAAATGTTAAAAAATGTTATTAGAGATTTTCCTAAAAAAATATATTTAAAAAATTACGATATTTTCCTTTAAAAATATTTTTAAGAATTTTATGATATTTAAAAATATTTTTAAAAAATCCACGTTACTTTCGTTGAAAAATATTTTTTTTAAAAAAATTCACGATCCTGCCCCAGGATGTCCTTGAAAATTACTTTTAAAAAAATCACGATTCTTGGAATTTCTAAAAAAAATTGAAAATTCTAAAAAATTTCCTAAAAAATTATTTAAAAAAAATTAAGATTTTTGCCTTAACAGATATTTTTAAAAAATCCACGTTACTTTCGTTGCAAAAATTGTTTAAAAAAAATTCACGATTCTTGCCCAGGAAGTCCTTGAAAAATATTTATAAAAAAATCCACGATTCTTGAAATTTAAAAAAAAATTGAAAATTCTATAAAATTTCTTAAAAAAATAAAATAAAATTTACAATATTTTCCTTAAAAATATTTTTTTAAAAGTCCAGGTTAATTTCGTCGGAATTTTTTATTTTTAAAATTCATGGTTTTTGCCCAGAAAGTCCTTGAAAAATATTTATAAAAAAACTACGATTCTTGAAAATTCTATAAAATTTCCTAAAATATATAAATACAATTTACGATATTTTCCTTAAAAAATATTTTTAAAAAAATCCACGATACTTTCGTTGCAAAAATTGTTAAAAAAAATCAGTAATCTTGCCCAGTTTTATAAAAAAATCATAAAAAATCCACGATTCTTGAAAAATTGTTCGTTACTTTTGTTTTAAAAAATTCACGATCTGGCGCAGGAAGTTCCTGATAAATATTTTTAGAAAATTCACTATTCTTGTCAAGGAAGTCCTTGAACAATATTTTTTTAAATCACGTCTATCTGCCAGGAATTCCCTATAAAATATGTTTTTAAACAATCCACAAATTTTGTTTGGTTGGTCCTTGGAAAAAAAGTTAGATTTTTAGCTAGAAAGTCCCTGAAAAATAATTCTTTAAAATTGAATTTGAAATTTATGATTTTTGGAAAGTAGTCTTTGAAAAATTTTTTGAAGAAAGAAACAACTAGGAACAGTAATTGTCAAATAATATTTCTGAAAAATAATTTTTTTTAACTTAAAATTACAAAAAAAAATTTTTTAGCTGGGCTCTACTTTATTCTTTTCAATGTCCACGATAAATACATAATTGCAGGCCAAGACTCTCTTAGCAAATGTCATGTCCATACTTTGAGATTGAGATTAAACCAAAACTGGAGTAAGGCCATGAAGGTCCAAACTGTGTGAAAATTTTGCGGAGGTATTGAAATAAAAACCATATTCTATGCATTTTTTTTAGATCTCGCATTAGTGAAAGTTACAAAATTTTGAAACTTTTTCCGTTTCCAAAACTCTTCAAATATTTTCTTCTTCTTTGAATATCAAACACCCCACAGAAAGACAGCATGTTTGCATATTCCTCTCCAACATGAAATACAAAAAAACAAACGAAATCGAAATGTTCTTTTTTTCGAACGTGTTATTGCACCCAATTTGTCTGTCCGTCCGGCTGTTCTTTCTGGTGGCTGGCTAGCGCAAGCAAGCAGCTTGGCTAGCATGCATACTAGCTGAGATTTGGGTATAATTTTTTGAAAAATAGACGACACAAGAAATTATTTGTTGTCAACAACAAAACGACGACGACAACAACGAAAACGGCAACGGCTATGTGAAGGCGAAGAAAAATAAAAAAACAAACAACAAGAATTTTAAAATTTAATTAATTTACACTTTGGTTTTTTGTTTCGTTTCACCATATTTTTGTTGTTGTGCTGTTCGAACAGGCTCTTTTGCATACAAAAAAGCAATGACAGAGAATATAAAATAAAACGAAATCACAATAAAAATAATAAATAAATACAAAAAAAAAACAATACTCTAGATTTTTTAGACAAAGTAAATACAGGCAGCAGGCAGTATTTTGAGTTTTTGTTGTTATTTTTTTAAATATATATAAAACTTGTGGACAGTAGAACCTCAAAGGCAATAGAAAAATTTATTAAAATAATTTTTATAATTTTTCGAAATAAGAAAAAAATTATTTTTTTAAAAATCTGTTTACAGTGTCCATGGTACCACGATTTTTATGAGACTTTTTGTCCATTTGGTATCCACTGTATTACTAAATATAAACACTTGCATACGTTTTTTCTAAATCTAAAGAAATTTCCATATATTATATTTATTTTGCAGTAAATCATTCATCTAAACCACAACTAACCTTTATTTTCCAATTCAATTTTGAAAAATTACTTGAAATATTTTTTTTTATATTTTTATCGTTTTTTTTTTAACTTTTCTTCACCACTGAATTTATTTTAAATTTTTCAAAAAATTTGAAATTCCTATTTTTTCTTTTTCAACGGTTCCGTTCCAATTACTTTCGTTTTTTATTTTAAAACGGTAAGCTACTTTGGTTGGTTGGGGGCCAAACACTCTCTGTTTTTAAATTCGATTTTTAATTTTTTGTCAACGATCACCGCACGCTGCTGCTCTGCGAGAGACTAATCCCCCAAGCAATTGTATGGGACGCCCAAACGCTTGCTGTGTGTGATGGCGGGGTGTAACAACGGCCGTTATAGAACATTGTTTACCCAACCAACAGTCATATGTTGCAGAAACATCAGTAAGTACCCAATTGGTGCACGGCACTAAAGCTAAGTTACTAAGGGATTTTGGATAAATTCAAAAGAGAGAAGAAAGTATTCATGGAAGAGGTTACATGTGGGTACTTGGATAAAACTTGCCCTCATCGAAATTAGCTTTTTAGACCTTTTTTGAAAAAAAAACCGAAAATAAATTTTGAATCTATTTTGACCAAGCAAAATATTATTCGGTTGAACTTGTAAATAAACCTTGTTTAGGACTTTCTGACCTTACGATGTAGATTTTTGTGAGAATATTTCAAGGACCTCCAGGCCAAACAAAGCAATTTTTTCAAGGTCCTCCCGATCTATTTTAATTTTTGGGAGAATATTTCAAGCACCTCCAGAGCAAACAAAGCATTTTTTGTATTATTTCAAGACCTTCCCGATATATTTTAATTTTTGTGAGAATATTTTAAGGACCTCCTGGTCAAACAAAGCAATTTTTTGTAATTTTTTCAAGGTTCACCCAATCTATTTTAATTTTTGGGAGAATATTTCAAGGACCTCCAGACCAAACAAACTCTCGATCTTTTTTAATTTTTAGTAAGACTTTTCGAACCATCTAAATGCATTTACCGCTTTTTTCTAAGACCTTCTGACCTAACAACATAAGACTTTTAAATAATTTTTAAGGACCTCCCGACTCAACAACGTGGATTTTTAACACAATTTTCAGACGTAACAAATTCGATTTTTTAAGAAAAGTTTTTTTTATAGAACCCCGACCTAACACTGCTCCCATTGTTTACCCTCAGCCATATGGCTAGAGAGGGTATATATCATTGGATATGGTCAAAACGTGCCTCATCGGTTTTACACCCTAGGTCTTTTTGGACCAAACCCGTTTCAGAACATTTCGAGTCGATCTAGCTATCTCCGTCCGTCTGTCTGGCACGCACAATAACTCTCGAAAGGAAGTATCCGATTTGATCCAAACTTGGTACATCGTAATATTATTGTCAAACTTAGACCGAGTTCGGAGATGGGCAATATCGGCCCACCCCTTCTGGTACCACCCACACAAAATGTCAACATTTCCAAAGAAAATAATTTACTGCACAGAAAGAGAAGGAACCAACCGATTTTGCTCTAACTTTGCGAATCCTAATATTTGCATCAGTGCTAGGTCACGTGCGAAAATGGAAAATATCGCTACACTCCATCAAGTATCTCTCCCACAAAAGGGTCAACATTTTAAATAAAACAAAACCACCATAAAATTCGAAATAAGCACCCAGTTCTCCTCAAATTCAAACACATCACTAGTTTTTTATAAACCCAAGGTCTGGTGTGAAGATGGAATATATCGTTACACTCCTTCAGGTACCTCCCGCACAAAGGGTCAAAGTTTTGAATATCCACGAAGCTTATAAGACGCGAAATTAACATGCGATTCCATTCAGATTTGGCACATCTCAATATTTCCATCAACACAAGTTCTGTTATAAAGATGATAGAGATCGGACCATTTCTTCTGGTACCTCCCCCACAAAGGGTCAACGTTTTGAATAACAAAAACCATCATAAAATTCGAAATAAGCATCCAGTTCTCCTCAAATTCAAACACATCACAATTTTTTTATAAACCCAAGGTCTGGTGTGAAGATGGAATGTATCGGTCCACTTCTTCTGGTACCTCCCCCACAAAGGGTCAAAATTTTGAATATTCACGAAGCTCATGAAACACAAAATTAACATCCGAATTCATTCAGACTTGGTACATCTCTATATTTTCATCAACACAATATGTGTTATAAAGATGGTACAGGTCGGACCACTTCTTCTGGTGTCTCTTCACATAGGGTTCAAGATTTGTGAAAAACAAAACGCTCAAATAAAGCGAGATAAGCATACAACTCTCTTCAAACTTCACACTTCCAAATATTTTTGCTAACGCAAGATCTATTGTGAAAATGATATATATCTGCCAACTCCTTCCTGTACCTCGCCCACAAAGGATCACAATTGTCAATACTTATATCTGTCAAAGCTTGCGAAACAACTCGGGGGTTCTTTACAACTTGCAATATCTAAATATTTCTCTTAACCAGAAATCTGATATAAATCGGAAATTATCTTGGTCTTGGTCTTCAAATTTTGCACATACCAATATTTTCATCTCTATTTGTTGAAGTATGAAAATGGAATACTTCGGCCCCCTATATATGGTACCTAACGCATATTTCCACATTTCCCAAAAATTTGCACATATCTCAAATAAAGTATAGGAAGTAGTCGATATAGTCCAAATGTTTCGGAACCTCCCCCATAAGGGGTCAATAGTTTGAATAATCATAACTCAAGGCTGTAGATATAAATCTGCCATTGTCAGATTGTCAAAAGACTTCATTTAGGATTAAAATTTTTCTTAGAAATCTCTCTTTAAAACAGCCAAAGTTGCATAGGGTGTCATACAGTCGACCTGGATTATAATCGTTTCCATTTATAGTGGTTTTCATTGAGCCAACGTCAAGTCAATTGAATATTCAATTAAAAACTACCGAAATTACCACTCAATACCCCACCAATCACTGAATACTAGCAGATTATAGGTGACTTTCTTAAAAGTCCCCTTATCAATGCAACAACTATTTGCTATCGGCGAGCTTATCTAATGCAGGGATGTCCAAAGAATGTTTTTTTTTTATTTATTTATTTTTTTTTTTTTTTGGATATCGTGAGTCTTTTTGGCTCTGCTAAACAACTACGGCTATACAGATCAAAGAAATAAATGCAATTTCTTTACATCATTAAACCGTATTGATCTAGGAATTATGTTTAAAAATATCACCTTGATTTTGGTGAGTATCTATTTCATCTTCAGAAAACCCCAACAGAAATATAGATAATAATAATAATATGTGCGATCTGATTGCACACCAACGTTAAACGCTGGACACCTTTGGTTGTTCTAATACGCGACAGAACGTCGCACACACATAGCCACATACCTACATAGCTTGATACGATCAGGTGTTTAGTTATTTGCTTTTCTTTCTTTGATAGTTGTACTTAAATCGTTGTTGAATAGAATACAAAACAATCAGTCAACATTCGTTCATTAGTTCTGCTTGCAAAAGCTTAGTTGGACGACAGACAGTCAAGATCAAGTGAAAAACTATTCAAACAATTTGTCAAAAGGGAGTCCCAACTTAATTCCATACGTACTTAAAATGTCCTCAACTACTCAACCATGGTGTGGTAAAGACTTTAAGCCTCGGGTATTTAAGAAACATCCACCTACAGTGTGCTATGACAAACCGGCTGCAGCTCAAGTTAACAAATCCCATTATGATGATTTGCGTTACCAGGCCATAATGGGTGATGTGGTGGAATCATTGATTGTGCCAAAACGTACGGCTCGCACATGGACAATGCAAAAAGGAGATTTGTGTCGTGTCACCGTGTGTGAAGGTTCCCAGGTGGGAGACATGAATTTTTGGAATTTGGAAAATACCAAAGAACGTTTCTATTCGGGTAAAACTCGTCAATTGCATAGTACTCACTTGAAGGTCTATGATCGTTTGTGGAGTTGTTTGCCATATCTGAGGCCAATGGCCACTTTCGTTTTTGATACATTGTCCAACTATGGAGTAGATGAAGATGGTGGTTCCTTGCATGATGTTGTGGGCACACGATGTGATGATTATACATATAAGTTGATAGCGGGCAAGGATCGTGTTGGTAGTTGCCACAGTAGTTTGACGAAGGCTGTTGTCGAAGAGCGTGGCATGTCCGAGGAGGATGTTCACGATGTCTGGAATATATTTATGTGTACTGGTTTTACCAATGTATGTACGAATGGAAACTAATTCAAATTTGTGCTTACCTTAGCATTATTAAACAATGTTTATTTTCTTTTCGTTTGAAGGACACCCAACAATATTTCTGCAAACCCAGTCCAGCCCAGAAGGGTGATTTCATTGAATTTATTGCCGATATGAATTTATTGGTGGCCCTGAGTGCCTGTCCCCAGGGTGATGTTTCGGTGGCGGTGGGTAAAGAGGTACCCGATGAAATTTGCCATCCACTAAAGGTGGAAGTTTTTCGCAAAAAGTAATATCTAGAAAAAAATTAAAAAATAAATAAAAATTTCAACCAAAAATTAATTTTTTTCGACCGTGACAGGACTCGAACCTGCAATCTTCGGATTCGAAGTCCGACGCCTTATCCATTAGGCCACACGGTCTTGTTGTAAGCATATAAAGTTCTATGAATTTAAATGGCTCACGTTATCCTTGTGCAAGGACATTACAGCCAAGAAGATAGCATGTAAGGGTAGTTTTTTTTTCTCTGTTTTACATTCCCTTATTTCTGTGTATGTATGCGCGTATGTTTTATTGTTTGGTTTTGGCTGAAGGGTGAATAATTTAAAAATAGCACAAGGATACACATTGAAGCAACAGGTTTAATTGTGAAATTATGCTTGGAGTTGTGTTCAAATAAGGGAAAATTTAAAAAATGGGATTGTAATTGATATTGTTTGGTACGGAATTTGGTTTCGGATTGTGTGTGCAAGTTATTTTGTGAATTAGAGGTCTGTTGTGAAATAAAACAAATAACGTTAATGAACGCACAGACTCTGTGAGACTTACCTCTCGCTAACACTGTAGAGACAGAGAATAGATTGAACCCTTTGCCCACAAAATAATCTCCTGTTTGTTATTATAAGAAATGTCAATGGTTTCTACATCAGAACTTAATTAAATCTTGTCCTCCAGGAGGTCATCCACTGTTTAACAAAAATGCAGGTGATTCAAGTTCCGTATTTTTTGAGGCGTTGAAACCGGCAAAATATCTATTGCTTGTAAATCTTGTTTTATAAATGTTTTCGATCTGAAATTTGGAAGGAATGCATATTAGTCGATGGAAGTTAGAAGCTTAGATGGAGACTTACCTTTTCGTATAACCAAACATTGGGTCATTTGACGAAATATATATCTTCTCCGAATACATTTTTTTTCTAAAAATATATAAAATTTTTAAATTGAAATATTTTTCAAATAAAAAAAACTGATCTAAAGACTTAAAAGATAACTTGAAAATGTTTCTACTTTGATGAAGAGAATCAGATATGGTATATTCTAATTCGTTTGTCTTTACGAATTCATATCCAATTGAGGAAGAGGGTTAATATATTTCACAACTACGAGGATCTTCAATATAAAGAAGGGGACCTTCTATTTAGAAAAGTTGTCAGGGATATGTTCAAACATAAAAATTAGCTAGAGCCATTTCATCGCTAAATATATTTCTCTCGATAGAACTCCTATAGAAAATCTTTTTTAGTAGCGCCCACCCCTCCGAATGGATGTATACCTATAGAATATCTTAAGAATGCACTTTTTCTATGAAAGACCTTAAAAAGGTTTTCGTTACTTAGTATAATTCATCTTCACTATATCATATCCCATCATTTTCCTTTCATATATGTCCAATAGGAAGACTTCCATGCACTGAGAACTTATAGATCTTTAATATATTGAAGAGCTTTAGGAAGTGGTTCCAAATTGTAATATGTCTCAGGGAGCTTTTCCAAATATCGACTTACCCTCTGTATATATTTTGCTATGTCCCATGTTGCTGTTGGAGTTACACTTGATTTGATGTGTTGTTTTGACATAATAGAAGCGGCTCAGGGATAGATATTGTCTTGGGATTACTTTGAATTGTAGTGATGTCTTGAAAGGTCCTTTATCTACAGAAGTCATTTTTTTAATTTCTAAATATTCTTGAAAGTTTTTCCTTCTATATACTTACCCACTATGAATAGTTTCCCATCTTGTGTCTTGTTCCAATTGGAGCTACAATTAATTTTTTGTGCTATTATGACACATTTGAAGTGGCACAGTGACAGATTTTGTATTGAGATGAGGTTGCGCTGCACTTATGTGTTGTTGTGGTCACCATCCTTCCAAGTTTTCAACGAAAGATTGCAAATTGTCACCAACAATAGTAGGAGTAGACAGTTTTGCCATTTCAAAAGATTTCCTTCAAACAATAATATAAAAAAGTAAATAAAGGCTTCCTTCTCAGTGTTTTCCGTCGATTTTTACTTCTGGAAGTTCTAGAACTAGACAGCTTTACGATTTTAAAAGATTTTCCTTGGCCAATAATACAAAAATGCTAATAAAGCCGTGTTTCCCGCCATTTTACGTTTTTTTTTGACATTAGCAATGAGAGTCGGGGAGAGTGTTATAGAGAGTATTTGGTTAACTTTTTGCCAGAAGTTTAAATTAAAGATATTCAAGGCCGTTGGCCAACGGATACAACATTGACATTGTTTCCTCTTTCTTAAGTCTCCTTTTTGTTTAAATTTCTCTCCACTTCTCACTATTCCATTGGTTAAACGATTGGCCAAGCAATTCTCCACAAAACAAACAGCTGATAGTCCCCCCTCTTCATTTGACGTTAACGTTGCCATTTAGCTAAAGCCCCTCTTACTTAATTATCTGGCAACACTTTTACCACCATTTTTTGACAGCCGACTTTTTTTTATCATCTCATCCCAGTCAGTTTTTCACGTTGGTTGGAAATGAATTATTAATTAAAATTTATCAAATAAATTACAACCAATTAAAGGAGAATCTTTAAAAGAACACGCCGCATTACCCAGGCTTTGTGAGAAACATGAATTCTATGAAGAAAAGTTGGCCAAATGTGCTGGCGGCATTCTTGCTCGTGACCACCACCATCATATCGTCGGTGAATTGTCTATATGAAGACCAAATCAAGAAATTCGATTGGTAAGTAGCCACGGAGAGAGAGAACGAAAGAGAGGGAGCAAAGGTTTTATTAAACAATATAAATGGGTCAAAATAATTTTAAAATATTTTTCCATTTTCACTTTAGGAAAACAACACAAATTGGTGGTGTGAGTCAAGCCTATTTGGAATTGAATGGTTTCCAACCACGTCTGCTTGTCAGCACCAGAGAAAATGTGATTGCTTCGCTGTGTCCCAAGACGGGTGAAGTGATTTGGCGTCAAATATTTGAAACAGGTGCAAGGGGAAACATTAAACTATTGCAATTGTCTTCTGCTGCCTCGGCTGGTGATAATACAGCAGCTGCCCGACCTGGTTCCACTAGTGGTTTTGATTTGTTGACCGTTCAGGGCCATGCTCCTGCTTTGGTGCGTGGTTGGAATGCCAATACAGGAAATTTGGAATGGGAATGGTCCTTGATGCCCATTCAAGTGGAAAAGGCTCTTTCCTCTATGTGGTTTTATCGTAATGCAATGCTCTATCATGTGTTGCCCGTGTGGAAATCCCATTTGGAGGTTACACCTTATTTTGCTAGTTCTGGCCAGGCCACTGGAAATACAGCAAAGATTACAGCCCCCTGGATAAGTGAGGAAAAATGTTTGCTGGCTGGCACATATTTGGCATGTGTTGAGGGTAGTCAGCTGATCAGTTTGGATTTGACCGCCAATCAACCACAAGTTTTAACCAAGGCTTTGGGTGAGGTTAGCGGTAAACCTTTGAAGGCTGTGGAGGTAAGTGGAAATTGTGAGGTTTTATTAAAGTTTGGGGTGAAATGACGTTGTTGTTCCGTTTCTAGGGTCTAAATGGTGTTGTCGTTGTTAATGGAAAACTGGTATCTGTCAAGGATGATATTAAAACCTGTGATTCTTTGCGTGCTGATAGTTTTACCATTGGACGCTTTAATAATCAAAATGTTATTGTTACAGCCAGTATTAAGGATAAGGTAAATATAACAAAAGAACCTGTTCATGAATGAAAATAGCAATTTTTGGATAGAGAGCGGAGACCAATGAGCCTTTGATAGTCTAAAAAATAATTCCATTGAAAATTCATAATTGTTTTCTCATTTTTAGAACCTCGTCATTGACGGTTACACTTTGGACACCTGCCAACAAGTCTCCGAACTCTCCCATTCCCTGCTGTATCCCGAACATTATGGCCCGGCTCAAATTAAATCATTCGATTGCAAAGTAAATCGTAACTCAGATGGTAAAGGTTGCCTCTTTATTGCCGATACGACGGATGACAGTATTTTAGCCATACAACAATCGAAATTTCGTTGGACTCGATCGGAGGCTTTGGCCAATGTAATTGCCACCGAATTCATTGATTTACCCTTGGCCGACAGTGAGGGAGAATTGGAAAATGAAATGAAGGGCAAGGCTGGTGAGTTCAGAGAAAATAATTTAAATGGCTTTGGGTTAGCAATATAAGTTCTTTCTAAGGAGATCTTAAGTATATTATAGGCTGCACTTTGCAACATGCTTTTTAAATTATTCGAAATTCTGTCAAGATTTTTATATATTAATTTCTTATTCTTCCAAATTTTAATTAATTAATCATATTATAAAACACGCATACCGCAACTAAAGGTGAAGATCCAAGTTTGGAGAGTAAGTATTCAAAAGGCTTCTTAATTCGTGTAATGCAACTAGTAAAATCTGCTTGATGTTTTTATTTTCTTTTTTTTTTTTTGGATTTTTTTTTTTAATTTTTTTTTTTAAATTTTTTAGTTAAAAAATACTTCACATAGAAAGAGTCAAGTCTGAGAAAGGAGGTTAATACATTGCTTCAATTTATAGAAAAAGATCCTCAATATGGATAACGTATACAGAGAGTCTCTTAAGCCTTAAATCATGAAGAAGTCACTCGGAAAGTTTCCTAAGATGTCTTTATCTATAGCAGACCTTTAGGCTTTCTTCTTATAATAGAACTCGAAAATATCATTCGTTTAGAGAAGATTTCCAAATAGTCATTACCTACAGAAAAACTTCAGTGAAGATTTATCTACCACTACTATTCTGCCACAGAATTTTTTTTTTTTTGGTATTTTTTACAATTTTCAGTGATAAAGTATTTCAAATAGAGAGAATCAAGTCAATTTGGTTCAGTTCAATATGTTCGTCCTAACTAATTCAAATCCAATTGATAGAGGTAGTTAAGATCATACATAGCTACAAAGACTCGCAATTTATATCCTCCATAATTTTGCCTTTGAGTTCTTCTATCTATGTAAGACCATTAAAAATAGCATATTCTCCCTTACGATATTCTATTTATAGAAGTGTTCGAAAAGATCATCTATACCGAAAAGACATACAGAGGGTGATCGGTGTGGATATCTAACTACCTCAGACCCCCAAAATGCCATATATATACCAGAGACCTTAAATTTTCTTTCATATATTTAGAGAAGGACCCCAAAAGGTCATATACCTATCGAAATACTTTGTATGAAATAAACAAAATTAAATGCTCCACAGAAGAAATATCTGCCAAAGATATAGAGAAGTCTACCCTTCCTAAACACCTCTTCAGAAGATCATTTGTTAACCATAGACCTCCAGAAGGTCATATATCAACCATAGATCTACAGAATGTCATCTATCTACCAGAGAGCTACAATTTTGTGAATTTAGAGAAACACTCCGAATGCCCATCTACCTATAAAAATACTCTAGTGACGAATTGTCTGCTAATGATAGAGAGAAATCCAATGCATCGACCAACTATAGAAAAAAATTAGTGGATATCTGTCTTTCACACCACTCCAGAACTCTACTAGAGAACTTCTAGATTAATTACGTTCAGGATGGTGTGGTCGTCTCTATGCGTATTGGGCACGAATTGACGAAGCTGTGCGTGACGTCTGCCCGGCGTGTGATACAGGCCCGCACAATACGCTTGCATCTCTTTAATTGCACAGTCAAACCTACCTAACTCACTCCAGAGATCTCTAACTACAGCACATTAAAGCAGCCGAATTTTTAAACCTGGAGCTTGAATCAGATTAGCAGAACGCAAACACTTACATGTACTACTGCTACAACAACAATAAATCCAGAAGGTCATTTATTAACCATAGAGTTCCAGAACATTGTCTATCTACCAAAGCCTCAAATTTTCTTTTGTTTATTTAGAGAGGAACTCATCTTTTTATAAAAAAAAAACTTGTGATCATCTGTTTTCTACAAACCTCCAGAAGGTCATCTATCTACCACATACCTCAAATTTTCTTTCATATAAAAGACCTTCTATGGAAACAACACTTTTCTATTTATAAAAGACCTCCAAAACTCTAAGAATGGAATTTAGAAGACTTTCGTTCTTTAGAAGACGTCCTGAAGGTCTTTATCAATAGAAGGCCTTTACTGAGTAGCATTTCCTGGACTTTTTTTCTATGGATATAAAATATTCTAAAGCTCTTCTATGGATAGAAGGCCTTTTGAAGCTCTCCTATTTACAGAAGATCTTCTGAAGCTTTCCTATGGACAGGAGACCTTCTAATGCTCTTCTATGGCCAGAAGACCTTCTGAAACTTTTTAATAAACCGAAGACCTTTTGAAGCTCTGCCGAGAACAAAAGACCTTCTGAAGCTCTTCTATGGACAGGAGACCATCTGAAACTCTTCTATTCTTAGAAGAACATCTACAGACCTCCAGAAGGTCACATACCTCAAATTTTCTTTTGTATAAAATACCTTCTATTAAAAAAACTCTTAAAATAGAAAAACATATTCTCTATTTATAGAAGACCTTCAAAACTCTAACACTAGAAGTTAGAAGACTTTCGTTCTTTAGAAGACTTCCTGAAGGTCTTCATCAATAGAATGCCTTTTCTGAGGAACATTTCTTGCCATTTTTTGTTTTATTTTTACTTCTTTTTGTTTTGAAAATATTTTATATTTATTTTTAAGTCATTTATTTTAAATTTTATTATTTGATTTTCTATTTTAAAATGTATTTTTACTTTTGTAATATTTTTTTATTTTTAGATAAAATTATAATTTTGTAAATTTTATTTTGCCGAAGAGCCTATTGACAAATTTGTATAAAACTTTGCTAACAATAGGCTCTTCATTGTATATATGTATATATTTAATCCTTCCCAGAAAAAAAACCCATTTAATTTAAATCTTTGTTTCTCCTAGCCGACATTGTCAGTGCATTTATGCATCGCATTGGCTCCCAGGTAATGCATTTCAAGAGTTTGCTATTGCATGTTGTTGGTTTGGGTGCCAAGCCTTCGGCAACCCAAAAAGCCGGCATTGTACGCGACGCCTTTGGCCTACACAAAATGTTAGTGGTCCTCACCAAGAGTGGCAAAGTCTTTGGTATCGACAATATAAGCGGCAAACAACATTGGCAGTTGTATTTGAAAAATGTTGAGGCATTTGGAAATGGTGAACAAATGCGTCTACTCATACAGCGAACAAGTAAACATTTCCCCCTTCAAGCATTGTGTGTTGTTGTGGCCAAAGATAAATTCAACGGAAATGGTTTATTGTATCGTTTTAATCCCATCACTGGGCAAGCGGCAGAGGGTGGCCTCACACAGCTGAATTATAAAATTAAACAATTGTCGCTATTGCCCGAGACCGATACGGACTTTGTTAAGGGCTTGCTACTCGTCGATGCCAATGATAAGATACAGGTATATCCCGAAAATGCCAAGGCAAAGGTAAGAATTGTTTAATTAAAATTTGAGCAAAAACGTTTTCAAAAATTCTCCTCCTTTCAGGCCGATGGTTTATACATTTACACAGCCAACAAGGCCAAGAGCTCGTTGAATGGTTTCCACATTAAATATGAGAATAATGTAAGACCGTATTTATTTTACTGTCACAAAGAGTTGAACTATTCCCAATAAATTTTCATTTACAGAAACTAACCACCATCCCCCTGTGGAATGTTGATTTAAGTGGCCACAATGGTGATCATGAAATTATTGCTGTTGCCTCCAAAAATCCCATTGAAAGAGTCCACTCCCAGGGTCGTGTAATGCCAGATCGTTCGGTCCTCTACAAATACATTAATCCCAATTTGGTGGCAGTCTTTACCCAGGCCTCGGATAGCATACATAAATGTAAGTTGTGACCATAGCGGAGGGGTTGTTTTTTGTTTAGGTGTAATAATTGTATGTGTGTTTGTGTTTGCAGATTTACTTAATGTCTATTTGATTGATGTCGTTTCCGGCTCTGTGGTTTTCTCAATGATGCATCGCAAAGTACGTCCCCCATTGCATGTTGTGCACTCGGAAAATTGGCTAGCCTATGCCCACTACAATGACAAAGTTCGTCGCACAGAAATAAGTAAGTGGAAGAGACGGGTGTAAACAACAATTGAAGGGGATGTGGAGAAGAAGTCCTGAGAAAGGGCTTTCATGGAAAGAAACTTTTAAATTATCGTCTAAAGAAGGAAGGTCTTTTGACTAAGACTCTGTGGCCAAAGGATCTTCTGAAGCTTCCAAGTATTCTACGAATAGAAGACCTTCTGAAGAAGAGCTTCAGAATCTCTTCTATGGACAGAAAAAGTTTCTGATCACTCTATGGCTAGAAGACCTTTTGCAGCTCTTCTATGGGTAGAAAACCCTCTGAAGCTCTTCTATGGCTAGAAGAACTTCTGAAGCTCTTCTATGGCTAGAAGACCCTCTGAAGCTCTTCTATGGCTAGAAGACTCTCAGAAGCTTTTCTATGGACGAAAAAGACCTTCTGAAGTTCTTTTATGGACAGGAGACCTTCTGAAGCTCTTCTATGGCTAGAAGACCTTCTGAAGCTCTTCTATAGCAAGAAGACCTTCTGAAGCTCTTCTGTGGACAGGAGACCTCCTGAAGCTCTTTATGGCTAGAAGACCTTCTGAAGCTCTGAAGCTTTTTTATAGACAGGAGACCTTCTGAAGCTCTACTATGGATAGAAGCCATTCTGAAGCTCTCCTATATATAGAAGACCTTCTGAAGCTTCTCTATGGCTAGAAGAACTTCCGAAGCTCTGCTATGGCTAGAAGACCTTCTGAAGCTTCTCTATGGCTAGAAGAATTTCTGAAGCTCTTCTATGGCTAGAAGACCTTTTGAAGCTCTTCTATGGACAGGAGACCTTCTGAAGCTCTTCTATGGCTAGAAGACCCTCTGAAACTCTTGTATGACTTGTAAGATTCAGAAGCTCTTCTTTTGTTAGAAAACCCTTCTGTAGCTCTTCTTTGTTAGAAGACTTCTGAAGCTCCTCTATGGCTAGAAGACCTTCTGAAGCTCTTCTATGACTGGAAGACCTTCTAAAGTTCTTCTATGGCTAGAAGACCTTCTGAAGCTCTTCTGAAGCCTCTCAATAGGGCGAAGACGTTCTTTTAAAGGACTTCTATCTTTTGGAGACTTGAATATTGGAATATCAAAAACTTTTTATTTTCCTTCTTCCAGCCACCATTGAATTGTATGAAGGCAAAACTCAGGCCAACAGCACGGTATGGAGTTCTTTGAGTGCTCCCCCCATGCCATTGGTTGAACGACAAACCTACATAATTCCAACCCTGGTTACCTCAATGAGAGAAACCATTACCGAGCGAGGCATTACAAGCAAGGATGTCTTGAGTAAGCATCCTCATAAGCACTTCTTAAAGAAGGAACTCTAAAAAATATCCTTTTATTACAGTTGGCACCTCCAGTGGTTCAATTGTTGAATTACCCTGGGCCTTGTTGGATCCACGACGACCCATCTCCTCATCCTCAAATGGACGTGATGAGGGTGCCTTGCCCTATGTACCCGAGCTGCCGTTGCCCACAGAGAATATGATTAATTATAATCAAACAATACCACGACTAAATTATATCTACACAGCTCCAAGTGGTTTGGAGAGTACCTGTCTGGTGGTGTCGGCAGGTTTGGGTAAGGATTTTATATAGATTTTTTAAAAATATCCTTGATTTTGATTTTGGTTTCCCCTTCAGATGTCTTTGTTACCCGCATTTCACCCTCGAAAACCTATGATCTACTTAAGGAAGACTTCGATTACATTCTGATTTCAATTGTTTTGGTGGTATTGACAACTGGCTCCTTGGTGGCCAAACATTTAGCATCGCGCAAATCCCTTAAACAGGCATGGAAATAGATGGGGGGAGGGCAATATTTCCAAACAACAACAACAACAAAATGACTTTTTTCTAGCAGCATTAAATTAAATAAAATTTTTATATATATAAATATTATGTATATCAATGGTTATATAGGAAAATTATAAAACAAAAGAAGAATAAAAAACAACAAAACTAATTTACACAACAACAACCACACACAGAGACACATCCATCTACACATACATATTTTATGATTGTAACAAAAGATCTTCTGGAAATGCATTATTGATTTGTTTTCTAATCATTTGCATTTTTTTGTTGGTGTAAAGGCATCTGACCGAAATTTGAATTTAAAATTGTCATTACGGTGTTTATATTTTAATTTGAAATACATATTTTTTTTAATATTATTTTTTGTTTAAGATCTGCCACCTATCGAATCCATTTAGATATGTATTTTTTTGTTTTGTGTGGTCAAAGCCAAGAGTCATTTTTATATATTATAATAAATAAAGAATTATGTTTTTGTTTAGATTTAAATTATAAATTAAATAAATAACAAATAAAAAACAACAAAAGAAAGGAGAAATGCGTTGATTATCTATCATTTTGGGGGAAGGGTTATATTTTTTCTCGCATGCGATAAAATTTGAGAGAGAATCATATTTCTTAAGAGAGATTTTATAACTGATTCTCTATTTACCTTGAAATCATTCTCAGAGGTCTTAAAAAAGGAAAGTGAAAAAATATAATAATAAAATAAAAAATATAATAATAAAAATAATAAAAAAAACCACTGTTTTTCAACTCTTCAAATAATTCAAAAAAAATCTTATTAAACCACAAAACTAGTTGAATTAAAAAATTTAGTTCTTTATTTTGTTTTTCTTCTTTTTTTACATAGAAATATGTAAAATTTGCCATTAATTAGCATCGTTATCATAATCGCTATATATTATTTTTAATTATAAATTAGCGAAAAAATAAATTAATTAAAAAATGCAAGAGATTCAATTGATGAGTATTTCAAGAATACAAAACTAAACTAAAGACTAGAAGGGGAAAACTTTGGACTGTGATATATTGTTGTAGTTGTTCTTCATATAGTTGTGCATTGTTTTCTGCCAGAGGGGGGAAGACAAAAGGCCATTTCAATATACTGCAAACAATTTCCATTTCCTTACAAATGCTAGAAGTCGGTTATGATTTCGCCCTCTTCATGGCGTCTGATGGGATCACCTTTGAGCAAGGCGGAAATCATGCTATGGAAGAAGAAAAGCAAGAACATATTAAAATTCCTTAAAACCTTTAAATTCTTTTAACAATACTCACAAATACAGGCCTATAAAGAACATAACAAAATAGTAACCCAAATAAATCATTGTATTTCTCAAATGCACCTTGAGCAGCCCTCGACTGTGGATATCAACGGGATCGTAGACACCCAAACTATCCCGGGGTTGTTTGTACAACTCATAGCCTAACCATGTTACCATGGGTACATTCAAAAAGAACATTATCCAATGGCCACCCAACAGTAGCAGAACACACAATATCAGATGGGAGCCAAATTTGGGTATAACCCAAAAATTCAAACGACTACAACACTCTTGGGCATTCAAATAATCACATTCTAAATCGGCCAGGGTCAGAACCTAATTAAAGGAAATAAGATAATTTAGAATTAATTTAATAAGCGATTTTAGCTGCAGATGCCAAACTTACATAGTATATGAGGAGAAAGAGAATAGCACCATAAACAATTAATCCAATAGCAAATGTCACTGTTTCGGGCAACATATTTTCGCTATTTGTTGTAAAGGGTTTTATTTATAAATTAATTCTTGTTTTATCTTGCCACTGTAATTCTGTTTCCTGTTTAATTAAAGCTTTTGTTTGGGGTCGTCGAAAATGGTGTATTCACCATGAATGGATAGCCGGCTTTAATGTAATCAATGAACGTAGTCTCAAAAACCAAACTAAACTAGGCATATTCAATTAAATTTGTTGTACGTATTCTCAAAATGTGTAAAAAAGCAATTAAATATATTTCACTTTACTTTTTATATCCAAAATATAATCTCTTGTTATATTTTTCAAGCAACTCACAGAGTAATGAGAGCCAAACCAAATTACTGAGCCACTGGTAGAAAATCGCCGGCGTCAAGAAAATAAACAAAGTACGAAATGCGTGATAATCGCATAAAATCAAAACAAAACCAACAATAGAACATCCGAAGATCAAAATGGGATAACCGGTGAATTGTTATACCAAGTGAATTGATAGCACGATAAGGTGGGAGAAGAAAAAGGAATTAATGATTTTCAAGAGCTATAGGAAAGTTAAAAAACACCATAAAATGAAAAACAAGAAAAATCCGCCGTCAAGAAAATAAACAAAGTACGAAATTCGTGATAATAATATAAAATCAAAACATAACCAACAATAGAACATCAGAAGATCAAAATGTGATAACCGGCGAATTGTTATTACAAGTGAATTGATAGCACAATAAAGAAAAAGGATTCATGATTTTCAAGAGCTATAGGAAACTTGAAGAACACCATGAAGTAAAAAAACAGAAAAATTCATGAAATTTTTATATGAATTGATAGTACGGTCAATATAATTCAATGTTTGAAGATTATTTTATGCAAATGCTGACGGTGATTTCGCCTCAAATAGTCTATTCGCTTACATACTCTATCACATTTCGGCTGGTATTTCACGAATAAATGCTTCAATGTCATCTTCCAATGTGTCAATTGAAACGGAATAAAATTTATAGACATGAGCTTTAACATAGCACCAAAAAAAAAAAAAAACGGCCCGAAGGCGGTTAATCGCACGATCTGAAATAAAGTGTTCACCGACCTCTCCTCTCAACAACAAATCATTGTTACGCCAGCTATGTGGCATGTATCACCGTCTCATGGTAGAAGAATATCGACATCGACACAGCCTGCTGGGCCAATGAACTGTCAAACGAATTTTGGAATTGAAAATGTTGAATGAAAAATTATTTAAATTTGTACAAATTGTTGAAAAAGGTCTTTTATAATAACCTCCGAATGACGTCGTATAAGAAAACATATAAAAATCTACTTATATTTGAAAAAAAAAAATAAATTTTTTTGTCATGCCAAAACTCGAAACATGCGAGAGCTGTTTAAACGAGTGTTTAAAAAAAATAAAAAAAATCACCCTTTATAATAAAACACTAATAATAAAAATACTGCAAAATATTTGATCTGTTTTCTGGAACTGTCCAATTTTCTTAGAAATACACTTTTATGACATTAAATGTAAAGGACTTTCATAATATTTTCTTATAAAATTTCCATCCTGAAATAAACCTGAAATGTTGTCTTGAATGAGCCATATTTACAGCATAAAAAATCCCAAAAAGATCTCCCGTCTCTTTCAAACAATGTCCACTTTTATATATTTTATAAAATCAAGTCCCTAAAACGAATAATTTCTTTCTGCAAATTCAACACCTGTCAAAAAGTAATTGGTTTAAGTAACCACATATCATACAACACTATAACCAACTCTCACGAACTTGTCTCTCCCTCAGCTTCTCTCTCTCTCTCTCTCTGTTTACACGGTGCAAAACAGCTGATTACTCTTCTTCACTTGTTCCGTCGGTATTTCTTTTTTCTTCTTTTTCTTCAATTGGTCGCCACCAGGAACTGAACATGGCTCTGCGTGTTTTGGGCTTAAATATTTTGAAAAATAACACAAATTTGGTGCAGGGTATTAGCCGGCTCAACAATGGCGCTCTGTCAAGTGTTGTAAGTAAAATTTGAAAGGGAGCACATGGATTTTTCATTCAAAAAAATTTAAAACTATTTCAACATGCATGTTTCTTCTTGCATAACCTTTTCCAAAATTATGCTTTTAGATGTTCCAGTTGTCCAATGCCGCCTATAGTACCGAGGTGACCGTTCAAGCTGCCCCTTTGGCCATTAAAAAGCAAAAGGTTAGCAAAGCCATGAAGGCGTATTTGGAACGGGCCCAAGAGCATGATGAATTCATGAAGACCCAACATTTGGAATATCAAATTGGTAAACGTCATTTGGCCAATATGATGGGTGCAGACCCAGAAACATTTACCCAGGAAGATGTTGATGTAGGTTGCAGGGGTTTGTGTGATTTTTTTCGGAAAAATTGAAATTAAATTTTGTTTTTTTGTTCCATTTCAGAATGCCATTGAGTATTTGTTCCCCTCGGGTATTTATGACAAAAAAGCCCGCCCAGCAATGAAAAATCCCGATGAAGTATTCCCAGCCCGTAAGGCAGCTGAATTTGATGAAACCGGTAGACCATTCCATAGCATGTTCTATACCGGCAATCCCAATTTCTTTAAATTGTTATATGTAAGTAGATATGCGCCTATTTTTATTGAGTGAGATGAAATGAGACCGGATGTAGTCAATTAGTTAAGTAGTTACGATGTGATAGACATTCTAATGGTTTTAGATAATGTCGACAAAGTATCTCAAGATAGAATGAAAATGAATGAAGTATCTCTCAAGTCAATCAAATATGTGCCTACTAAAATGAAAGGCAGTACGGCCAAAACGTGCTTCATCGAAATAACGATTTTAGACCCTAGGTTTTTTAGACCAAATCGGTTTCAGGAAATTTGGAGTTGATCTAGCTACGTCCGTCCGTCTGTCTGTCTGGCTGGTGCGCAGGATAACTCTCGAAATGAGTATCCGATATCGTCCAAACTTGGTACATCGTAATATTATTATCAAACTTAGATCTAGTTCGGAGATGGGCAATATCTGGCCACTCCCCCAGAAAATATTAACATTTTCAAAGAAAATAATTTACAACACAGAAAGATTTTGCTCCAACTTTGCAAATCCTAATATTTGTAGCAGTGCTAAGTCAGGTGCGAAACTGGACGATATCAGTCAACTCCATCAAGTACCTCCCCCACAAACGATCAAAATTTTGAATAATTATAACTTTTATAAAATTTGATATAAGATTCCGATGATCTCCAAATTACACAGATCACAATATTTTTATTAACCCAAGGTCTGGTGTGAAGATGGAATATATCGGATCACTCTTTCTAATACCTCCCCTACAAAGTATTAATATTTTGAGTATTCATGAAGCTAATAAAACACGATATTAACATCCGATTCCATTCAGACTTGGCACATCTCAATATTTCTATCAACACAAGATCTGGTATAAAGATGGTAGAAGTCGAACCATTCCTTCTGGTACCTCGCCCACAAAGGTTCAAAATTTTGAATAACAAAAACGATCATAAAATCCGAAATAAACATCTGGTTCTCTTCAAATTACACACAACACAATATTTTTATTTACTCAAGGTCTGGTGCGAAATTGGGATATATCGGCCCAATCCTTCTGTCACCTCCCCCACAAATGGTCAAAATTTTGAATATTCATGAAGCTCATAAAACACAAAATTAACATCTGATTCCATTCAGATTTGGCACATCTCAATATTTCAATCAACACAAGACCTTTTATAAATATGGTAGAGATCGGACCATTCCTTCTGGTACCTCCCCCACAAAGGGTCAAAGTTTTGAATAACAAAAATGATCATAAAATTCGAAATAAGCATCCGGTTCTCTTCAAATTACATACATCATAATTTTTTTATTAACCCAAGGTCTGCTATGAAAATGGGATATATGGGTCTAATACTTCCGGTACCTCCCCCACAAAGGGTAAAAATTTTGAATATTCATGAAGCTCATAAAACACAAAATTAACATCCGATTCCATTCAGACTTAGCAAATCTCAATATTTCTATCAACACAAGATCTGGTATAAAGATGGTAGAAATCGAACCATTCCTTTTGGTACCTCCCCCACAATGGGTTAAAGATTTTTGAAAAATAAAGCGCATAAAATTGGATATAAATGTTCCTTCAAATTCTGCACATACCAATATTGGTATCTGTATTAGATAAAGTATGAAAATGGAATACTTCGGTCCGATGTATCGGTTACCGCATGCATATCTCCACATTTTCCAAAATTTTGCACATATCTTATATAAAGTACAGGAAGTAGTCGATATAGTCCAAATCTGTCACGTTGTAATGTTTTATCAGTCTTGGGTGAGAAGTTCCAGAAATGGCTTTTAACAATCGACGATGATCGTCCTTGACGTTCAAAATTGACCCCATGACTTTCACTTTTAGACCACAAATAAAAATTCTCATGATCATTATTTTACCATTTTTCATCATAATATAGCCCTTTCTCATTATTATTTAAATTGTTTTCTTTTTGTTCCAGGACATTGTTGAAGAGCTCAACAAGTTGTACGACTTGGAGGAACGTATGCTGCGTCGTGGCCAAAAAGCCGACCCCAATCAAAAAGTGTAAGCATAAATGAATTCCTCAAATTGTCACTTTTAATAATCATATTTTTTCGTTTCTCTATCCAGCGATCTAACCGGTTTCAATTGGGTCTCAAAAGACATCTTAGAATTGCGTTTAGTTGAAAAAATCTCCGATATCGAATATAATAGTTTTATTGCCTCGATGGAACGTTTAGTTTCCCACCCATATTCGTACAAGTGTAAAGCATTTATCGATGAATATACCAAACCCTTGATGGATCATTCCAGTTCTTTGGAAATTCCCAAGCCACATATCGACGAGCAGGGTAGACAGTATATTACAACTTATGGTAGGAATTACATTAGATAATTGAAAAGATTTATGAATTATTGTTTATTTTTACTTTTTTCGTTTTTTAGAATGTCTACGTAAAACTGCCCGTGCTGATGTCACGTTACGTGTTCCGGGCAACGGAAAAATTACCATTAATGGTAAAGATATTACCTATTTTGAGGATACACAGCCACGTGAACAGGTGAGTCTTTTTGTTTTTTTTTTTTTTTTTTTTTTTTTTTTTTTTGTGCACAAACAACGTGAAAGTTGTGCAAAAAATGCTGTGGAATTTAAAGTGTGAAAAATTTAATATTGTGAAACAAGTTTTAAAATCTTCTAAAAACAAGTCTATGGCCAAAAATATTGTTAAAAAGAATTGCT